AGAAAGTCCCATCCTAATATTAGCTGTTGAGTACACGAACTACACGAACCACTGCAAATTCAACATAATGGAGAAGTCCATCAATGTAGACACGAACAGTGCACATGGTGGAAGGTCGGATGGCGTCCCCTTGAGCAGCGAGCAACGTAGGTGCATTGTAGGGCATAGTAACTTTGCGGAAACGGCCACAAAAATCTCCGTGAATGACCGAGAAACTAGCACCATGTCTATAATTGCTTCAATTTCTACGCCTTCCAGCAAAACAGATATCATATTATGAGGTTGTTTTGGAGGAATTTTTTTTCACTTCACTGAATGCAGCTTTTCCCCCCCAAGGTGCGTAATTTAGCTTTCCGGGCAACGGTCGGCGAAATGTGAGGGTGGTCGAAGTGGCGCCGTAGAGCGACGTAGAGGGGACGGTGAGCGATGCCTGACATCGCTGTAGTGAGGAGCCATTTCAGGAGTTATTGATGGCGAGGAGGAGCAATCGTGAAGCGTAGCGTAAGGATGGTGCTGGAAAGTGCTTGCTGTGGCATAGTCATCCCGGTCGTAAGTGTCAAATCCACGACGCTCGTCTCGCTAACGCTTGCGACAGACACGTGCGATGTGTCCACGATATCCACAATAGTAGCATGTAGGTCTCGTCGGGCGCCATAGTTGATAGTAGGGTTCGTTGTTTGGGCTGGCGACTATGGAATCCAGATGTGCTGGCACCGGAGGGGCATAGTAAGGCAGGTTTTGCGTGCTGGGCGCCAGGGACGCCAGATCGGCTGGCGTCGTCGTCGGCGGTATCAGTGGAACGAAGGCTGAAGTAACTGCTGTGATTTGCGCGTGAGATAGCGGGGCTTTAGAGACGTGAGGGTCTTTGCACGCATTACCAGTCATAGCCGCCAACTCCTCCTTGACGACGTCCCGTAAATTTGTACTAAGGGTGTCAGAAGGAAACTGACGCGTTGTAAACCCGAGTGACTGCAATTCCTCTCGTATCATGCTGCGGATCACGACTCGTAACGAGGGGTTGGTAGTAGGGTTGTCAGGGATGTCTGCAAGAGAGTTGTCCAGCTGCAGCCGTGCGGATTAGAGTTCATCAAGGCACTGGCACATAGCTACTATGTCAGCAACGGTACTTGGGTCCTTTACGACCAAAGCGTTGAAAGCGACAGGCCCTATGCCTTTAAGCAGATGGCGCACTTTGTCTGTGTCGGACATGGAGTTGTTGACGCGTCGACACAGAGAAAGAACATCCTCGACATGCGAGGTATAAGACTCGCCTACTTGTTCGCCAGACTAGCTCGAACTGCTGGAGTAGCGAAGACTTGTTGCACATGTTCTTTGAAGACGTTTCAGTTGGGAAAGTCAATCTGGTGGTTGAAAAACCAAGTCTTTGCCACGCCAGTAAGATAGAAGGAGATGCGGCAGAGTTTGTGCGGATCGTCCCGACGGTTCGCTGCGCTCAGTATGTCATATTGGTGTAGCTAGTCGTCCACGTCCTCGTTTCGGAGTCCAGCAAATAGCGGGGGCTCGCGAGGCGGTCCACTGACGATCCAAGAGTGAGTAGCTGCGGCCGTCGTAGCCGGAGAAGTAAAGGGAGCAGTGCCTGAGGGTTCATACTGCGGCATGCTTGTGGACACGTAGCTCAAACGGCGACCTGAGCGAAGCTGCAGGAGGTAAAGTGGGCGAGTAGGCACGGGAAATCAAGAAGCAACCTCCACCACTTGTGACGTAGTCCTTTACACGCCTTTATTAGGCCTGGAAGACGTCGCAAAAACCCTTACCTCTGAGGCACAGAACCTACTCAAGGGTCGTCCCCACTAACAATGAAAATGAAGAACACTAGGTGATGATGGTTCTGTACAGGTGATGAAGAAGCATGCTTTGAATGCCTACGATATATATATATATATATATATATATATATATATATATATATATATATATATATATATATATATATATATATATATATATATATATATATATATGTTCGGTTCCCGCTCACGCCAAGTTATCTGATCACCCACTTTTATTCACTCACATTTACAATACAATTTGATTTATTCGCTTTCCGTCTAATTTCCTTGACATTATTGTGTGTTAATATATATATATATATATATATATATATATATATATATATATATATATATATATATATTATATATAGATATATATACATATATAAAATATGCTCTGATTCTTAAAAAAAAAGAAGGTTAAGATGACACAGACAGCTCAATATTGTGTTTTTTGATGGTGTAAAATATCCGTGACCCCTAGAGTAGTACTGCCGAGCCATTCGATTTATGCACACTCCCATGCAGTAATGGTGCGAGACCTGGTGGTGTAAAGCGAAAAAATGTCACGTACAAAGAATTTGTGTACAGGAAAGGATACAATTGCGGCTATGATTATGTTGCTTTTAGTACCACTACCTTCGCACAAAGTCAAAATGGCACTGCTACCTTCATACAAAGCCAATCGCTGTTATAATGGATCACTCTGTACTGCAGTGGCTGATGAATATTAAGAATCCTCAAGATCGTCTCTTCAGCTGGTGATTGAAACTATCGATATATCAAGGATTTTATTGTTACGTAGGGTTTAGCGTCCCAAAACCACCATATGATTATGAGAGACGCGGTATATAAATGAAACATCAGACAATAAAAGACCATAAGCAATGTCGAAGCAGATGCACTCGCCAGAGCAGCAATTGTCAAAATTCTGTCCCACGATGAACTTCAGCGATGCAGCAATGAGCACCGAAAAGGAACGTATTCTTTGGAATAAAATTTAGTCATCGTCGAAAGAAAAGAACTAATGAAGACCTATGGGCTACAGTCAACCATTCTTAAGAACGGTCATGAACATTGTGGGCATGTAGGAGTGATGACGCCCTCCCGGTTGTCGCCGTAATATTGATTGGACATGGTAACCCATGTCGCCACCTACACTCTATATTGCGATACATGCTAGAGATGCAAGACGACGAAAACAAACAAATATGGAACACTTGAACGCCTGCCTTCTGCTGAAAAGTCTTTTGACTCTTTCGTGATGGACAAAATAGGGAAATTTTCTGGCACATCAAAAAGATTTTTTTGCTTCGTTATCGACCATGCTACTCACTTCGTATGGGCGTTCCCCAATGAAATTAAGAACAGCGACGCCTGTATCTGGTGCCTAAAAAACCACTTTTGTTACCGGAAAGCCATGGAAGTTCCTTTCATATCGTGAAACAGAATTTACTGCAGGAAACCTTAAACAGTTTATAAAACATAATCAAATACACCAGCTCTTCACCTCATCGCATCATCTGTAATACAGTGCTATTAACGAGTGGACGAACCAGACCATCGTGACCATATTTAAGTGAAAGATTAATGACGAGCGTTAAAAATGGTGAACTAACCTGCTGTCAAATCTAACAGACGAATACATAGAGCGCTTCCAGACGTTACCGGCTATGCACCGTCCTTCGTGATGTATGCAATCCCATCCAACTGTTCTGAAGCAGCGAAAACAAAAGGTAGAAGAAGCGCGGAAAGCTGCGGTTAATTATATTGTCTATCACAAGAAGAACAAAGCAATTTATTACAAGAATTTCTTCCTATTGAGTTTAAGTCAGTGACTTTGGCGTGGTTTGCGCACGGCAGTACTCAAATGAGTAATGGGACGATGACGAAACTTGGTAGTAGCAATAAGCCGACCATGCAAGTTACGTGGAGCTCAAGACACTGAATGACATCCTTCCATCTGTGATATTTGCGCACAACACGGCCGTACAACAAACCACGTAGATGACACCACTTAGGTTGGTTTACGGACGGAGTGCGGCATCGACGGTCGATGCCATGTTACCCAACGGGACAGACTAGAAAAACGTTGATGTAATTGTCTCCCTTCAGTGCACCGAAGAAGCCCGACAGTTCACCCACCTACGCATCAAGAATCAGCAGGCGACTGAGCGTAGCCACTACCACCTTCAACGACGCTTCGTTTAATGACAGTCCGGCGACCGCATTTGTGTGTGGACTCCGATACGATGACGCAGACAAGGCGAAAAAGTCTTTCGACGATAGTTCATTCCATTCAAGGTTCTGTAACGTTAAGGCACTCTAGACCACGAGGTTATATGGGAGGAAGTAACAGACTGTCAACCACGGCGTGCACAGCCTGGAGTCGTGCATGTCGTGTGCCTGAAACAGTTTTATGCACGTTAGAGAACCTTCGGACTCTACTTTCTCTTCTTTCACTATATTATAGTTATTCATTGCTTTTATTTGCTTCCTATTGTACTTTCATCATGTGCTAATGCCACACTCCTTTCTCAAACTCTGTTATCACCCCATTACACGTGCAAGTGCCACCTATGCGAACCACGCTGATTGATGAAGAACCCTGAAAATATAATCGTAGAAACTTCCGATGCGACGACGCACTCCAAGTAAACATTAGGACTTTTCTAGAGCATACGTGGTCGCTAGCGACACTGCCTCAATATTCTAGGGCACATGTATAAGTGCCGACGTGCTTCATCGCTGCATGGACACACGATAGACGGCCGACTCACCGAGAGCCAATATCAGTGTATGGCGTACACTGCTCGTGGTAACCTTGCTTCCACTTTTGACAAGTTCGGCCAAATAAAACATTTGACCTTAAAGAAGCGTACTACTGTGGCCATCCACATCCCGACCACGTAGCAATATGTTGGAGTCATCGAAACAAATTAGTCTATCTGGGTACTGAATCTTGTTATCTAGGTTTGCCCCTGTTTTAGGCGCAGTGAATTTATTCTATAATATCATACAAACCTAAGCTTCCGTTATCCTAAGCTAATTAACTACTTCATTTGCCTAGCCACCAAGAAATTCAAGCTACAGCTTATGTTCTTTGCCATTACGTTTGTTTGTATACTTAGGGAACAGTAGAAAAACGTAATTCAGTCTAATGCTGCATTTCTAGATAGAACCCATCCTATGCGGCCGTACACTCACCGTGAGATTCAACTCCCTGACGGTGAATTGAGCATACTGCTCGACGAGGCAGCGTATGTCGTCGGCCATGGTACCGTTGCTGCCACCTGGAGGTTCCTGCCACACCGCACGGTTCCGCTCTGGATCGTATATTATGCCTGCGAACCATAGCACGGCGAAAATGGCGGTGCTCACTCAGACACACTCAACAAATACATTTAGTCCTTGGGACTCACTCCGACTCAGATTTGTCCTAATTTTTCTGAATCGCATTCACTCGGACTGAGACTCGATAAAATTGTTTTCAGCTGGATTCACTCGAGATCTAACTCACTAAAATATTACATGAATTTACCCAAACTTGGACTCACGGCCTAATCTTAATATGAGTGAGTGGACTCATGAGCCCATTTACGTACATAAGTTTTTTTTACCGTGGTGTCGTCTCTTTATTTAGCCTCGCCGCGGTGGTCTAGTGGCTAAGGTACTCGGCTGCTAACCCGCAGGTCGCGGGATTGAATTCTGGCTGTGGCGGCTCCATTGTTGACTGAAGAAAAAATGCTGTAGGCCCATGTGCTCAGATTTCGGCACACGTTAAAGAACCCCAGGCACTCAAAATCTCTAAAGCCCTCCACTACGGCGTCTCTCATAACCATATGGTGGTTTTGGGATGTTAAACTTCACATATTATTTAAAGGGACCCTGAAATTTTTGACAATTTTTCACAAACACAATGGGCCGGTAGACCAAGTCTCAAGGATAACTTGGAGACCGGTTTAAGGTCTTGCGTAAACTTTGTAATTTATTACAATGCTTTAAAGCTGCAAATCGCTCCAGATCGCTCCCACTCGGCCGAACGCGTTTTCAACCGTTCATACACCAAGTGACACGCTCTGCTCCACTGACATCATCGTTTCAAGCTGATATGATTGGCTGTGGAACGCGCAGCACAGACTGCCTATCGGATCAGCGGTGGAATTTACGCGTACATGGTCTCATGCCACATCGTGACGCAGGCGCCTTGAAGGCGGAGCTTAGCCCCGAGCGCTCGAAGGAAGAGTTGAGGACAGTTAAGGGTGGAATACGAAGCGGAAGAAAAGGATACTTTTTTAGTTCTCGTAGCTTCGTTAACATTCGGTGTCTCGCTTGAGCTCTGGTGCCAATTACTTGCTCCAGTAGTGGTCAAATAAAAAACAGCATGTGAAAAAACCGTTCCAGGCACCCTTTAAGGCCCTTTAAGGCTTTAAGTAATATATGAAACGACTATACATAGCCTTCATAGATTACGAGAAGGCGTTTGGTTCAGTAGAAATATCAGCAGTCATGCAGACACTGCGGAATCAGGGCGTCAACGAAGCATATATAAACATGCTGGAAGAAATCTACAGGGGATCAACTGCTACCATCATGCTTCATAAATAAATCAACAGAATACCAATCAAAAAGGGTGTAAGGAAGGGGATGTGATCTCCCCAATGCTATTTACCGCGTGCCAACAGAGGTTTTTAGAGGCCTAGAATTGGAAGACTTAGGGATAAGAGTTAATAGAGAGTACACTAGTAACTTGCGCTTCACTAATGACATTATAATGCTGAGTAACTCAGGAGAAGAATTGCAACTCATGATCACGGAGTTAAATAAGAAAAGCAGAAACGTTGGTCTTAAAATTAATTTTCAGAACACGAAAGTAATGTAGAACAACCACGAAAGAGAGCAGCGCTTCGGGATAGGTAACAGTGCTATAGAAATCGTAAAAAACTGTCTACTTAGGACAGGTAATAACCGCAGAGTCGAACCACGAGATTGAAGTTACTAGAAGAAGACGAATGGGGTGGAGCACATTTGACAAGCACTCTCAAATCATGAAGGGTAGATTGCCACTATCCCTCAAGAGGAATGTATATAACAGCTGCACCTTGCCGGTACTTAACTATGGAGCAGAAACCTGGAGACTTACAAAGAAGTTTCAGCTTGAATTGAGGACGGCGCAGCAAGCAATGGAAAAGAAAATTGCAGGTGTAACGTTAAGAAACAAGAAGAGAATAGAGTGGATTAGGGATCAAACCAGGATTGAGGTTGTCATAATGGGAATCAAGAAGAGGAAATTGACATAGGCCGGGCATGTAGCACGTAGACAGGATAACCACTGGTCCGTAAGGGTAACTAACTGGATTCGTATAGAAGGTAAGCAGGTTAGGGGAAGACAGAACGTTAGGTGGGCAGATGAGATTAAGAAGTTTGCGGGTATAAATTGGCAGCAGCAAGCACAGGTCCAAGTTGACTGGCGGAACATGGGGGAGGCCTTTGTCCTGCAGTGGACGTAGTCAGGCTGGTGATGATGATAATGATGACGACTCGGAGGAGCGCGTAGGTCACTTCACTCACAGCTGCGTTTACGAAAGTAGCACGCTGTTCACACTCGAAGACCTAAAATTTGTGATAGTTGTTCGCGCTGGTCTGGTGTATATTTGTGCGTTCGTTTCGTGCGTCTGCTTTTTTGTTTGGGCAGCGCGCTTCAAGAGTCGAACTGGGACAGTTGGTTCACGCACGTCCTTTGTATGCTAATTTCGTGCGTGCTTTGTGCTTAAGGTCCATGCTGGGAGTTTTGAGCTGCTTGTCGTTTTTCGCGCGACATTGAAATTGGTTGTGGTAGCATTTTTTTCTCTTGTAGTGAAACATCGCACAAACACTCAAATACCTCTGCAAAGACATGTTTCACTTTCGTGTTATATCAATTACTAGAAAGAGGGATAAACCACGTTTTTTTCTCTTTAAGCAGAACGATTTCCAGGCCCTCTGGTCGAACGACTATGACACACTTAGTAGCTATTTGGTGCAGCGCCAGCTTGCATAGTATTCCAAGAGGAGCACAGCGCTGTTCAACACGATCGTCGCGTAATGTTTGCGATTGCACCAACGTGTATGTAAGCTGGTAGTGTAACTTCCTTAGAAGCCCATGGATCCAGTAGTCGGCGGCTCGTTGCTACCGTTGCCGTATATGTGAGGAAAGGACAACTATCAGCAAACATAATAAATTAAACATGTCGTCACAACTGGAAGTGGTAGCGATGTCGCACATCTGGCCTACATGGCGCGAAATTGAAATTTTTCTTAATTTCTGACGTGGTATGTGCCTTCAATATTACGGCATTTTATTACGCCTTAATTTTGTCTCACTGATTGCATCTGAGAGAAAAGAAACGAAAATATCAAAGATTGATGAAGCAAAGTTGTTTTATTAGTGAAATGACGTGCTTGAAATATGCCCAAAAAACTTCGCAGAGGCCATTGTGAGAGAACTGTTTGTGATCACAATAGCATGACAGTTAGAAAACTCACTAACCAATTTGTAAAAAACCGCTTCAGCGATACATCAGCTTTGAAAATATTGTCACTGGCTTGTGACAACGACGAAGGGAGCAGACAGTAGATCGAAGATTAAACTGTTTATTGAGCCAAACTTGTGGCCACAAAAAGGGAAATTGAGATTACAGCAAGACACTGGCACCGATATCGGCGAACTGATACCCGTGCCCCACGGGCATAGAAAATGACATTTGGTGGCGAAGGCCTTCAGTTCCCGAATGACATTCGTTTCGCCGGCGCTGCTACACGTCTAAAGCGAATGACATTTGACTTGATGATGTCGATCACAGCACCTTCCAAGTGAGCATTGAGTGAATAGCAATAAAAAAAATTAAGAAGCATTTACAAGCTTCATACACATCAGATAATCATCAAATGAAGAAATAAGCGTATTACGCTGTCCTAAGTTTTAGTTTCTTGCTTTGTTTTACAACGTTGCAGCCGACCGTAGCAACCTAAGCCAACACTAGTCAGATCCGCAGCGTAAATAGACACTAACATTGACAAGCGTTTCATTATCAATACTTTATTTTCTTCGTATAACGTTCAAAGCATCTTTTTAAGACTTTAGTGCAAATAAAAGACGGGAAATTTCATTTTTAGCTCAATATGATTTGTTTTATATACTTTCAGGTAAATTGCACTTCGCGAGCTGTGTCGTCGAGAGTAGGCATTTCTCAGTCAACTGAGTTCTGGCGAAGGCAGTTGGCGGCGAATGGCATTCGAATGGCATTCGGATGAATGCCATTTTGTTCGCCCGTGTGGCACCGCGCGAATGGCAATAAATCTGAAGGCATTCGGGGGTAAATGCCATTTTTTCTGCCCGTGTGGCACGGGTATGAGCGTCGGTCGTCGATCAACTGACAAGTGGCGAGACGTGACGCCATTTATAAACTTGACATTGAACATTCCGGCGTTATCGCTAGCGGTGACGTAGATTCCAGAATAATCCTAAATGCTCACTACGTAGGTGTGATCTCAACAAAATTATTTACGGCAACCCTGAAGCTTCTCGAACACTCTAAGTGCGGTTTGTACTGAGAATCGCGCACAGCGTAACGGCGTGATAAAAAACTTTAGGAAGGAACGTAGCATTGCCTCCCTCTCAAAAAGGCATCGCCCCGATGCTCTAACAGAAGATGAAAGTGCAATAATAATGTAAGAAAGTACAAATAATAAAACACAATACAACAATGATAACAACCACAAAATACACTCTTTCAGTTCGTTAACGTTCATGAAACGGCTTCAGGCGCATGACATGGACGACTTCAGGTCACGACCGGTGCCATTGAGAGCTCGTAATGCCGTCGGGGACAACCCGGAAGTCGAGTGGGCCAAGACGTCGTACTGCCCTGTATGGTCCGAAGTACCATCACAGAAGTTTTTCGCTAAGTCCACGTCGGCGGATCGGCGTCCATACCCAAGCACGTTAATCGGGCTGGTATTCCACGAAGCGTCACCGAAGATCGTAACGGGCGGAAGTCGGTCGTCGGCTGATTCATGATGCACAGGCGGGCGAGTTGATGACCTTCTTCAGCGTGCTCAAGATAGAGGGTGTCGTAGATGTTATCTTCATTAGTGACGTTAGGCAGCATTGCGTCGAGCGTCGTTGCCGGGTTCTTTCCCTAGACCAACGTGTACGGTTGCATCTGTGTCGTCTCCTGCACGGCCGTGTTTCATGCGAAGGTCTCGTACAGAAAGATGGCGTCCCACGTCTTGTGTTAGTCGTCGACGTGCATGGCCAGCATGGCAATTGTCTTGTTTAGCCGCTCGGTGGGACCATTTGTCT